GGGATAAATCGCTTCATTGCTTGTAGCAAATGTGGTAACTCATTGTACGATGTATCCCAATCTCCATACGTCAGCTTCATTACCTTCATCTTCGCATTCCACACCTTATCGTATTTTACTTGATATCCAAATTGGCTTAAAATAGATGCATCTAACACTGAACAAGAGATCCTTGGATCCTTTTCAACCATCGCCTTCACGTATTGACATATTACATCGGAGTCCAATAGTCGGTTGTCTTGTTCGATGGAGTTTCACAAACATGTGTGAGGACCATTGTACCTTGTGATAACCCAAGAATCTTGCCTTTGAATTTTTGACACTCTGATTTTCCACTTGCACTCTGGGCCATATTTAACACACTTCACGTATAGGGTTTTCTGGTTGGACTATGCAACATGGACATCAACATGGAATTTGATGTAATACTCTTTAATCGCCAGTGTAGCTTCATTTTTTTTCCTCTGAGTTGCACCTCAACTGAAAATTCATCAGAATTTTCGAATGATTCAACCATTTGGTACGGAGGTAAATGTGGCATTTCTGGGAATTCAGGTGCCCTCATCGTATCATAATCTATCTCGTACATGTGAGGAGTAACTTCATACGGTGTCAGAACTTCATCAATGGCCAAGTCAATTGCACATCCACCGAAAAAATTATCATCGTCGCCCAAAACGGGTTCTTCTATTTCTTCATCTTCGCTTGAATTATCATGAATTTCTCCCCATCGATTTTCAGCATCAAAATCAACAGTCAATTCTGAATGGTGTATTTTTCTCGTCTCATACTCTGCTGCTTTGGATGTCCCTCCGACTTCATTTCCACTTTCCAATAGTGACATAAAACTGTTTGGGAACCTGTTTGTCGGATCCTCAAACTCACTATCGAAAGCCATTTCAGATGGATTTTGAGCCACATCTTTTGATGACCCAGGAACATCGAATATGTTGCTTGACTCATGTAGTCCAATCATGGTTCCAATATCATCATCTTATTCAATTGGTACTGCATCATATCTGACTGGGTTGGGACATATCATAAACCTGTACATCAAACCATCAACTGCAGCTCAAATTTTTCTTTCTATCTTCTGCTTCATTTCTACAAATGTGATGTCTCTTTTGAACATCATATTTATTGGTTTTTCAGACTGAAAAACAACTCCAACCTCATTCTCCATAATCTGTCCATTATAATGGACAACCGTAAAAAAGTTGTTGCTCATTTTCTCTACAAATAAAAATATATATAAATTTAGATTTCACAAATTTGATAAGATAATTTTATAAATCATTAAATAAATAATCTAATATACTATATTAACGATAAAATCAAATTCTGATATTTTTTAAATTAAATATTAACGATAAAATAAAAAATATCTAAATTAATTTGACTACAAAAATTAATTAAAAGCATAACAAACAAACTAATATAAGTTTAAACACACTAACAAACTAATTAAATAATTTTTTATAAACCCTAAACTAAGAAACTTTCAAACTAATTAACTAATTTTTCATATAATATAATATATAACTTAAACTAACAAACTAATATAATATAATTTAAACTAACAAACTAACAAACTTTTACCTGATCTCTTCTTCTCCCTTTCTTCTTCTTCCTTTCATTCTTCTCCCTTTCTTCTTCTTCCTTCTTCTCCCTTTCTTTATTCTTAAACGTACCCCATACCCAATGACCAACTCATAAATAACCTTAAATCGGCCCCATAAACCCTAAATTAATTACTACAATAATTCATTCATTTTTCACGCATTAATAATGTTACTATTAAAACTTGCAAATCATGTATGTATGTATGTTGCATACATGAGAGGAGCAAAATAATGTTGCATATCACGCAACTATTATTGCTACAAATCACGCCTGCAATTTAAGTAAAATTATTGCTACCGGAAAAGGATGAGCTCGCGGGGCCAATATGTATGAGGTAGGCAGGGCCAGCTTTGTCGCTGCAGAACCACCACCAGGTCGAACTATTGCTGCAAATCACGCCTGCAATTTATGTGAATTATTGCAGCATTTTCACGCCTTCAATTTACGTTAAATTATTGATGCATGCATGAGGGAGACATGGATGAGGGAGGCAGGGCCACATTTGTCGTGATTGCAGCAGTAACACGGAGGAGTTCGAGCTGCATGTATGGCGACCTATAAGCTCGCTTGGATTGCATGGAGACCAATACAAGCACTGTATCGTTCGCACCATTTGAACAATTAATTCTTGGAGAAGATTATCATGTCAATTTTTTTTCACTGAATTTTTACGTGAGTTTGACCATTAAAAATGCCATAATTTCTTTTTTTAAAAAACCTAGATCCTAAAATCATCCATAATATTCCTAACCCTAACTTTACTATCTCACTTGGCGGCCACAGTTGTTGCTGCAGTCTTTTTCATCGCCTGTCGTCGGTCTTACAGTAGATTTTGCCGGACCCTTAAATCCCTAAACACTAAAAACCCTAACCCTTAAATTCACCATTGTCGTTCGAATTGCAGGATATTGAAACCAAAGTTAATGAGATTGAAGCCACCCATGTAATATCCTCAAATTACATGATATTAAAAAGGGGTTTTCGTTCATTTGGAACCCACATATTCGAGAATCACTCTTGGAGGTTCAAGAAGCTAATTTATTCTGATACTAAAAGGGGTTTGGTCGGTAGTGGGGTAACAATTAGGAGATAGTTGACAGTGATGAATGTCGATTGATGGGTAAGTGGCCAACGACAGCGGCAGCGATAGGGTGGCTGATGATTTTGGTTTTTTTTAGATTTTCGAAAATTTGAATTTTTAAATATATATATATATATATAATTTTTTTTAAATTACCAAAATTTTACATGTATCACTTAAAGAATTTTTTTAACGATATCATATTTTGATTATTCTGATCATATTCTTCGTGTCATTAGTTAGAATAAAATAATGCGAGTAAATTATTTAAAATAATAAAAATATATTAAATATTTAATTTATATAAATTTAAATTTAAATTAATAAAAATCTAAAATGATATTAGATTAAACGTCGTTCACTTTTTTATATACCTCTATCTCGGTGTATAATTGATTCTATTCTCTCTAATCAACTTTAAATTTTTTTAATTAAGTCAAGGTGATTACATAGTAGTATATGATCTAAATAATCTCAATAATTTGACAATGAACGCTCAATCACTTTTACAATGAACTGGTGCTTGAACCAGTGACCTCTAGAAACAACAACAATTCTCTTAACTAGTAAAAAGTTAGTTCGTATTAAGGGAAGACGATACTATATCACGTCATCTAACATTACTTATGCATACTTTTAAGCTCAATGAGATTGAAATTGTTTGGCGTTCGTGCCGTTGCAAATAGAGGTGATCAAATTATTTAAATTTTATAAATTTAAAATTAATTTAATTTTATAAATTAATTTAAATTAGATTTTGTGAAGAATGAATTTGCATTCCAAGTATTTGAGGATGTTTTTAATATAAAAACACTTTTAAAAGTAGTATCAAACGAAAAATTAATAAAAAATATTTTTCAAAATTAATATTTGATAAGATGAGTCACTTGTTTAACTGGAAGTCAATAGAAGTTTTATAGTTCACGCTGATAAGAAATAAATGAAAGAAAGAAAAATGAGGTTAAAATATTATATATATATATATATATATATATATATATATATATATATATATATATATATATATATATATATATATATATATATATATGTGTGTGTGTGTGTGTGTGTGTCTGCACGATCCATGACAAAGATATGTTTGTATAAACATGTACAAACTGAACAACGACAATAACATGCATATGTATATTTTATTTTTTATCACTTAATAAATATCTATTTAAAATGTTATATTTAAACACTTCAAAAATATTAATATATAAACAATGTGAGATTATTCACAAAGTAGTGTTCTCTATAGCAGTTATTTTGCATTTAGAAAGTTACCACCAATTTTTGGCGTTGAGGGCAACGGTGGTGGTGGCTTTGCCCGACCACTACCTTGTTCTTTTTTATTTTTCAGTCAATTGTTTCGTTTTTATTATTATTTAGTTATTTTTAATATATTTAAGATAATATTTTCTCTTTGTCCTTTCTCTGATAGAGGGTATTATGGCTATCGACGTCTTTATGTTTTCGTTGCAGATTTCTTCCATTGATTTTTATTCGATTCATGATCTCAATTTTCTTGTGATGCCTTCCTTTGGTCATGTTTTCCTTTGTAGGGGCAATGACTTCTTTTCGACAGCTTGTTCTTTGTCCTCTCTCAATTCTTTTTGTGATGGTAGGATGAGACTGTAATTAACGGAAGATTGATTTTTTTATTTATCCACGTTGGATCCTCTCCATTTCTCCTCGATGTTGGAATGATCTGTCTCTATATGTCGTCGTATCAATAATTTACGCTTTTGTTCATCAGGTTGTCACTACTCATTCAATGTTATATTTTGTTTATTATTGTCTTGGATGTCTCTTATATCACTGTAAATGATGGCTTCAATGACTAATGCAATATACGTACCTATTTTATAATCTCATTATCAAAGTGTTGATTTTGAGATGCCAAATACAAGTTTTAAACCAATATTTAAACTCATGTAAATATGATCGTAAAAAAAATCCAAATACTTAGATCCTTAATATTTTAGAATACAATAGTTAAATGAGAAATTCTAATATTTGTAAAAGTTTAAAATCAATAACTTTAATCGCAAAATCTTTAAATTTAATATAAATAATATTAAGTTTCTTAAACATTTAGATATAACATTTTAAACAAATATTTATTAAATAATTGAAAATAAAATTTATATGTATTTTTATTTTTATGGCGTGTCCTTAGTTTATATGATATTTTTAAAATTTTATATGGAGTGGATGTTAATTTATGAAATAATAGTTTTAGAGTGATATTTCGGTAAAAAGTCGGAAATTACCCAACCCAAAAAAGCTTGAGAATATGTGGGGATATTCCCGCTACTTCTCACTCGCACTCTACAGTCCGACGCGGAGAGGACCAAATCTCCGATGTTCCTTTTGCTTTCATACTAACAAAGGGTTTTAGAGATTTATCAACACACCGATGGAAGAGGGTTTCAAACCTTCCGGTTACAAAGAGTACTTTGCGGGCTTGTTCGCTGGTGTTGCCACCGTTATCATCGGTCATCCCTTCGATACTGTGAAGGTATAAGTTATTGCTAATTCTTTTACTTTTTCTTTCAAAAATTAAAACTTTTTTCAATATGGTCCGACAGAATTTCAAGAATTATATTTGTTAACTTGTAATAATTAACAATTTAACCAGGTGGTTAGCATTTCTAGGAATGTGGGTCAAAAATCGAATTTACGGATTGGAAAAGTTCCTCTTTGGGAACATGTAAATGTTGATTAGATTCTTTTAACCTAAGCTTTGTTTCTTTGCTTCCTGGTTTTCTTGGCAATGCAACAATCAGTAAAGTTATTGTATTATATACGGTTGTTTGCTCAGGTTAAGTTGCAGAAACACAATACGACAGTACATGGGATTACATATAGGAATGGCTTCCATTGCTTTGCTAGGATACTTGCAACTGAAGGGGTATGCTTCTTGATCCTTGTTTTTCCCCTTTCCCTATCTAGAACCCTGTTCGTAAATTTGTTCTTTGGTGAGAATTAGACCATTATTTTATATCTAACGAAATACTGCGGTGGAAAGAGATCATGTTATTCTTTTATAACTTTTTGAACTCGAATACCTCCAATTTATTTTGTTTATAGGGTTGCTTGCTGTTCAAAGTGCAAAATGAATCAGTAGGATATAAAGATATAAATGTTCAGCTCTATCATATTTCAACATTTTGTGCAGACAAACTCATTTTCTTGTGTCAATTCCTACACCGGATCTTGCCTGCTATTATCCTAAGATCTAAAAATGTTGATAAGGAAAATACTGGACAAAGATAATCAAGTTATCCGGGAATTTGTGAAGATAGAGAGAATTTCTTGCAAGTTGTATACGTCCAAAGGGGAAAATAAAAAATTCTTAAAGACTCTCAGTATCTACAGATGTGATTCTAAAACCAAGGTATTGATCTAGTACATAAGTTGAGAGGATCCTAAAGCACATACAAGGGGGTCTGTGGAATGTAAATCATCAGTTCACTTGTTTTGGCAGTATAATCCTATAACAATCCATAAATCTTAGCATATATTATCATGGTTGCTACCCTTTCCTATACATTTGTTATATTTGATTTTTCTGGAGAACTCATGGTTAGCTTTTGCGGGTTAGAGGACTTTATACTGGGGCAACGCCATCTTTTGTCGGAATGGCTTTTGAAAGTTCGCTTCTTTTTGGCATTTATTCACAAACAAAACAGTTTCTGCAGGTTTGTATTAAAAAGAATTGGAGGTGATATACCTGTTTCTTTAATAACATGTTCTTATTTTTTGCCAATTAAGGGAGGAGTTCAGAGTAGCAGGCCACAGCCCCAAGTAATAATTCCTTCTGCTGCTTTTGGTGGAGCTATTATCTGTTTTGTTCTATGTCCATCAGAGCTAGTGAAGGTATGAATTAGTTTTTATGTTCTGACTTCTGATATTACTTGCTCTATGATAATTGATCACTATTTTTGTTTCCCCAAAAGTATGCTTGTGACAAACTGACAATGGGCTTCTCCAGTGTAGGATGCAAATTCAAGGCACCGACTCGTTGGTTCCAAAGTGTAGTGGCTACAGCAGTTCTCTTGATTGTATACTAAAAACCATAAAAAGTGACGAGGTGAGAAATACTCTGCTTTTTGGCAACTTAATTCATACATGAAATGAAACTAATGGAACACCTTTCAGGTTACAGGTGCCTTTGTGGTGGCTCTACAACATTATTAAGGGAATCAGTCGGAAATGCAGTATTTTTTAGTGTGTATGAATATGTTCGTTATTATATGCACTTACAGCTAAAAACTGGTTCATCTGACCATAGCATTTTGGTTGATATGGGAATTGGAATATTGAGTGGTGGTCTGGGTGGTGTAGCTGTAAGTGTTCTATATATTATGGTGTCAGAATCCACCATTCATGGCACAAGAAGATGGATAACAGAATGGTGGAGGTTTTATATAAGATCAAAAACGATATTAAAAGAAAAGGATGATATTTTAATTGTTTCCTTGCCTTGTAGATTTACCTTAGGGCTGGACTGAGAGGATGCTATGCAGGACTCGGTCCGATTATTGCGAGGGCTTTTCCAGCTAATGCAGCTGCAATCGTCACCTGGGAGTTGGCGATGAAGCTTCTTGGAATCAAGAACAACTTAGGAAGCTAATAGTTAATTCATCTAATCTCCAGAGACTTCTTTTGAATTTGTAATTGGCTTGGTGGATGATCTTTCTTGATCCTTGGGTTTAAATGATAGAGAAAATAACATCAGTGACAAAAAATGTCTTATAATATACGATTTTAACTAACTTTTTTTGGATTTGCCAAAATGACCAACTAAATCGCAATGCGATCGATAATTCGTAACGCGATCTCCGGTATCGCAAATCAGTTTCTAGATTCGTAACGCGAACTTCGACTATCGCATTGCGATTTACATATTCGCATTGCGATAGTCCAAGTTCGCGTTGCGATAGTCGACGTTCGTGTTGCAATTTATTTCAAATTCGTTGCGATAGTCGAAGTTCGTGTTGCGATTTATTCCAAGTTCGTTGCGATTTATTCCAAGTTCGTTGCGATTTATTCCAAATTCGTTGCGATAGTCAAAGTTCGCGTTGCGATTTATTCCAAATTCGTTGCGATAGTCCAAAATCGCAACGACCGGTGGTATTGCATTTGTTTCTTAAGAATTTTCTCTAAAAAGATAATATTCGCGCGGACGTGTCGAAGACACGTATTATCACGACCACGACCCGACCCGAGACGAGACGAGACGGACGGTAGCGGCGCGCGAGAGTTCCCCTTGTTCTCTATCACTAAACAAGGAAGTGGGAAAGCCAAGCCTTAAATACCATTCCCAATAGTGTTTCCAATACTATGTGGGATTGAGCATTACCAATACTTGTTTCCAATATTATGTGATTATTCAGAAAACAATTAACGATCATGCACCTTAAAACAACTGAATCAGCAACCAATTGCATTAGTATTATACGATTAAATATGTCATAATTAAAAGTCAATCTACAATCAATCGCGATTATTGCAATTTTAAACAAAACATTCAAAAAAAATTGCATCACTCGCGAGAATAAAAAAAATTGTTATCGTGCAATTACAATCAATTGAAAATAAATTAGAATTGCATGAAAACTAAACGAACCACAAATACTTTTCATACAAATACTAAAGTCATTAACTATAATTCACAAATAATATCACTATTTAAGGCTCAATCCTACATAGTATTGAGAACAAGTGTTGGTAATGCTCAATCCCACATAGTATTGGAAACGCTATTGGGAATGGTATTTAAGGCTTGGCTTTCCCACTTCCTTGTTGAGTGATAGAGAACAAGGGGGACTCTCGGGCGTCACCACCGCCGTCCGTCTCGTCTCGGGGTCGGGGTCGTGGTCGTGGTCGTGGTAATACGTGTCTTCGACATGTCCACGCGAATACTATCTTTTTAGAGAAAATTCTTAAGAAACAAATGCAATACCACCAGTCGTTACGATTTTGGACTATCGCAACGAACTTGGAATAAATCGCAACGCGAACTTCGACTATCGCAACGAACTTGGAATAAATCGCAACGCGAACTTCGACTATCGCAACGCGAACTTGGAATAAATCGCAACGCGAACTTCGACTATCGCAACGAACTTGGAAAAAATCGCAACGCGAACTTTGACTATCGCAACGAACTTCGACTATCGGAACGCGAATTTGAAATAAATCGCAACGCGAACTTGGACTATCACAACGAATTTGGAAAATCGCATTGCGATAGCCGAAGTTCGCGTTGCGATAGTCGATGTTCACGTTGCGAATCTGGAAACTGATTTGCGATACCGGAGATCGCGTTGCGAATTATCGATCGCATTGCGATTTAGTTGGTGATTTTGGCAAATCCAAAAAAAAAGGTTAAAATCGTATATTATAAGGCATTTTTGGTCACCGAGGTTATTTTCTCTAAATGATATGACCATGAAATTCAATATTTGTGGCAGGAAAGAGTGGTTTAACATGTTTTTGCAGTAGCTCGAAGACATTTAGCGGCTCAAACAGTCGAGTTGTTTTCTGAGTTATCCCCCGGGTTTTTCTTTCACGGGTCTATTGTTGTCTGGTTGAGGATGTTCCTTCATCAAATCTTATTCGAGTCCCACGGAAGGCATTTCATAATTCGGAGGTCTCTTACGGAAGTTGCTCTCAACCTGGTGTTGGGGGTAGCCTACTATCTTACCTCCCCTTACCCCATACATATAGGAAAAGGGACAACCAATATGTTTTATTGATTCGAGTATGTAGAACCTGAAACGATGCATTATAAAGACGTTGAGCTTAGAATTTAGAGAACTTATATTTTTACATCCAAACTTAATTTTGCCCATCTTTGTAAAAGGCTTTCTATATAGTACGATTAAACACTTGGGATTAATGCTTGGAATTAATATATTTTATGTTTGTTTAGGGTCGGGTTAATGTTTGGGATTAAGATATTTTATGTTTGTTTAAATTCGATTTAAAATGACTCTTGAATTTTATCTGGCTTGTAGTTGTAAATGATTATGATTCAAGTTTATTTTCGACCTTTCATGTTATTTCTTATTTTCTTTTTTATAAAAAATATGTATTCTATTTTTAGTTTGATATTTAATATTTTTACATTAATAATTACTGATATTTATAAAAATATATATTAAATATTAAATAATATTTTTTATGAAAATAATAAATATTTTTAATTTATTATATATTTTTGTATTAATTATTTATTAACTACTACTGAAATTATATATATAATATGTTCAGTTTTAATTAATTATTGGACTTGATTTAGTAATTAAGCATTTTCTTAATTTAATAAGTTTGAAATCATCCAATTTTATTTTTATTTTCTTTAATTTTCATTTATAAAATAACATTTGATAAAAACATGTTGACCTTGAGCTAAGCGGAGGATCTGATTCAATGATTTGTAGATCTTAAATTCCTCTCCACATGTCCTTGATTTGATCCATTGGTGTCAATTTTGTTCTCCATCTGATATATTATTATAAGCATAAATTTAAATAGTTAAATAACCCTATAATAAAGTCGCTATTTATTGTTTTTAAAAACAAGTTGGATTCAAACTTGATCCATATTTTAAATGAGTTTAATTTCTTTGTATAAGTTAATTTTTAGATTTATTATTCTTTCTAAACCATCTTATATTTAAACTAATATGGGCCACGGTACAGTCCATGCATGCATGTAAAACCCTAAACCCTTACATCGGTGTGAAGACTTGACCACAACCAATTGTAAAGAGCACAGAAAATAAACCTCAAGGCCTTGAGGTGGGGAAGTTAATGTTAGCAAAGTCAGGTGAATGAGTCATTGATATGTCTCACAAAATGTAACAATCAGTATCTGATGGATTCACTGTATGCTGTTCTTATCATCGGTTAAATCTGGAGCACCACCCGATTCATAACTTTATTACATTGGAATTTAGTAGGTTTGAGTTTGGATATTTAACATCCATAATGGCCTGTTCTTAGGGCACTATTAACGAGAATGACTGCTTCATT